ACTAAATGGATATAAAATAAATATAAGAACAATGGAACAAAAAGTTAGTTCTTGAAAAGATAGGTAAGATCTATAAATCTTTAGCCAAAATGACCAAAAGAAGGAGGGAAAAAGTACAAATGAACACAATTAGAGATGAAAAAGGGGATATCACAATAAGTACCAATGAAATCCATATGATCATTAGGGCATATTTCAAAAACTTATAATAAACTGGAACATCTAAAAGAAAAGGATAAATTTCTAGATGCATCTGACTTATCAAAGTTGAATGTAGAAGATATAATTCCCTCAAATAAATCTGTAACAAACAACGAGATTCAAGCAGTAATAAAGAGTCTCCCTACTAAGAAAAGCTCAGGTCCCAATGGATTCACTAATGAATTCTACCAGACCTTTAAGGAAAAACTAATACCAATGCTCTTCAAACTACTCCATGTCCATGAAAGAGAAAGAAAAGCTACTAACCAAATCAAAACTGAAAAGGATGCAAAAAAAGGAGAGAAAATTGTAGAGCAATTTCTTTGATGAACATAGATGCAAAATAATACTTGAAAACCAAATTCAACAACACATAAAAAGATTATATACCATAATCAAATTGGTTTCATTGCAGGGATGCAAGGATGACAAATCAATAAATATAATACAGCACCAAACTGAATCAAGAACAAAAATCAAATGATCATGTCAATTGATGAAGAAACATCTTTGACAAAAATCAGTATCCTTTCATGATGAAAGCACTGAAGAAACTAGGAATAGAAGGAATGTACCTTAAAATAATAAAGGCTGTCTATGACAAATGGATAGTCAACATCATACTAAATGGACAAAAACAAATAAGTTCCTCTAAAGTCAGGACCATATAGTAATGGAATTCTGAGCCAAGGCAAGAAATAAAAATCATGAGAAAGACAAAATGAAATCAAGTTATCTCTATTTGAAGATGATATGATTCTATTTTTAAAGGGCCCTAAAGATTTTACTAAAACTTTTATATTTGATAATAACTTTCAACAAGGTAGCAGGATGTAAAATCATCATACAAAAATTAGTAAATTTTCTATATACCAATAATAAACAGGCTGAGAAAGAAACCAGAGAAACAATTCCTTTCACAATAGCCTGAAAAAAAAGAAAACTTTGCATTAACCTAAGGAAAGAAATAATGAAACACACCAAACACTGTTTGAAAAATTGGAGAGGAGATAGGAAATTAAGGGAATATAATGGAGAGTTCAGAGTATACTGCATGTATTTATGTATTATCACAAAGAATTATCATATTATCAATGTATGCTAATTTTAAAAAATTAAAAAATAAAAATTTTAAAAAACAGAGGTATAAATGAGAAAAAAAGAAAGATTGACATTAATTCATCTTTGAATGTTTGGTGGGATTCATCCCTGATGCCATATATAGTTCTGGGTTTTTCCTTGATGGAAGATTTGGCATACAAAAGTAAAATTTTCTCTATTTGCAGATGACAATATCACAAATATGGAAAACAATAACAACTCAATTAAAAATGTTAGCACTACCTGAAAATGAAATTAAGAAAATAATCCAACTCATAGTAGCAATGAAAAAATATTTAGCAATAAACCCAAGCAAAAGCCAGGCACCAGTGACTCACACCTATAATACTGGCTACTTGGGAGGCAGGGAGCAGGAGGATTGTCTTTCAAGGCCAGCCAAGGCAAATAGTTCAGGCGACTCTATTTTGAAATATCCAAAAAGAGCTAGTAGAGTGGTAGAGCACCTGCATTACAAGCATGAGACCCTCGGTACTGAAGGGGAGGGGACCATAAGCAAAGAGGGAAAAGACTTTTTACACTGAAGATTATGAAACATTAATGGAGAAAATTAAAGAAGACACAGCTAAATGGAAGGACACTCAATTTCATGGCTAGGAATAGTGGATATTTTCAAATTCCCAGTGGGTATTACTAACCTGTTTACACTATCCAAAGTAATTTATAAATTCATTGAATTTCTCACCAAATCTCTGGTAGCATTCTTTACAGCAACATCAGAAGATAATCCTAAAATCAACAGTGACCTCAAATAGTTAAACTAACCTCAAGTAAGGACAGAGCTGGTAGCATCACACTACCTTTCTCAAAATATATTACAAAACTGCAGCAATCCAGACAGTATGGTACTGGCTTAAAGCAGACATGTAGGCCAGTGTAACAGAAGCAAGATCAATCAATCCATCTATTTTTGGTTATCTGGTCTTTGAAAAAGGTGGCAGGGCAACACATTAGGGAAAAGACACCCTGTTCAACAGATGTTGGAAAACTAGGTAAACATGTAGAGAATTAAATCGGACCCTTCTAAATTCAGACCTTTCTATCATATATTAACTAGGAAAGGTTTAAAGACTTACATCTAAGACCTTAACCTTTAAAATTACTAGAGCTAACATGGGAGAAAATTTCTTAGCCTTGATCTGAACAATGGTTTTAATGGATATGATATTAAACCATAAGAAAGAAAAGTAACAAAAAGGTAAGGAATGAGAAACTGAAAAGATTTTTCACATCAAAGGAAAGACACAACAGAGTGAAGAAGAAACCTACAAAATTGTGAAAAATATTAAAAAAAAAACATACGGGATTAATATCTAAAATGCATAGAGAACTCAACTGATTAGAAAGCAACAAATAACCAGATTTGAAAAAACTGGAACAAAGGCCTTGAATACAACTGAATATATTTCTGAAAAAGAGATATATAAATGGTCAAGCATTATATGAAGAGGTGCTCAAAATCAATAAGCATTTAAAATCAAACCTGCATGTACTACAAAGTCTATTATCATAAATGGAAACAAGATGACATGTCTGGAAAGGCTGGAGAGGGAAAGGAGTATTTGTGCACTGTTGTTCGGAATGTAAACTTGTTTGACATTATGGAAAACAGTATGTAGCTTCCTCAAAGAAATAAAGAAATAAAAATATAGCAACTTTATATCCAGCAATCCTGACTTTATGACCCATAACTAGAATCAGTATGTTGAAAAATACCTGCATTCCTCAGTCTACTCTACCATTATTCACATTAGCCATGATATAGAAACTACTTTTTGTGACTTCAATAGGGTCTTAATGTGTCTCCCAAAGGTTCAATTTCTGGAACCTTCATCATCAATGTGGTGATGTTGACAGGTGGTGGGATTTTTCAGTGGTAGGTCTAGTTAGTTCATTGGCGAGGTCTTTCCCCCAGAAGAGACTAATGTAGTCTCAAGGTTCATGGCAACCTTGGTCAGTTCCCATGAGAGTATATTATAAAAAAAGTAGTTCTGACCCCTGTATGCCTCTGCCTTCCTATGTCTCCATGTGATCTCTTCTACCTACTCTTCCACTGTTGTGACACCACCCACCATAAAGCTTGGGAGCTGAACAGATCAGGATACCTAATCATGAAATTTCAGCCTCCAAAATTGTGAGCTACATAAACTTGTTCCTTTATAAAACACTCAGGATCAGGAATTTTGTTATAGCAACAAAAGTAAGCTAAAACAATCTTAAATATCTGTTGATGGATATGTGGATAAAGAAAATTGGATTTATAGAATCATCCCTTGGTATCTTCAGGAGATTGGTTTCAGTGTCTTGGAGGATACCAAAGTCCAAGGGTATCTCTTACAAAAAATGGCTTAATATTTACACATAACCATGCACATCTCTTGTAGATTTTATTCTCTAGATTATTTAAATACTTAATACAATATAAACAGTATTTGTACATAGTAGGCTATGTAAATAGTTGTTAACTTGTATTGTTTAACAAATAATAACAAAGACAAAAGTCTGTACATGTTTGGTAAATATGCAACCAGTACAGGTCTTATTATATAGTATATGATCTATAGTTGTTTGAATTTACAGATGCAGAACATGCAGACACACACACCTTACTGCATGTTGAAAAACAGATCTACACATATGTTTGTCTGTCTAGATAGAAACAGGCAATAAAATGAAATTCTATTCAGAGTTTAAAAAGAAGGGAATCTTGATATTTGTAACTATACCAATCCATAACCCTGGAGGGCATGTTACATGAAATAAGCCAAATGTGCATAAAGATGAATATTGCATGATCTTACATATAAAGTATATGGAATCTAAAAATGTAAAACTCATAAAAATAGAAAATAGAATAGTGGTTACAAGATCTGGGGGGTGAGGTGGAAAAAGACATGGGGAAACATTGCTTACAGGGTAGAAAGTTTTAGATATACCAGAGCAGTAAGTCCCGGAGACTTAATGTGCAACAAGACTGTTGTTAACGTTATTTTACTAAGAGAGTAGATCTTGGGTGTTCTAACCATACATACCCATCAAAGCATAACTATGTGGTGTGATAGAAATGCTAATTGGCTGATTGTGGTCAATATTTTACAATATGTACTTATCGAACATATCAAATTATCATTATATGTTATAGCCTAAATATATATAATTTTTAATTTTAAACTATACCTAAAAGTTTAAGGGAGAGAATCTGGGAGAGAGAATCTGCTGTATAACCAAAAACAAGTAGGTATAAAGATACGAGCACAAACAGTTTTAGCAAATTCTTTTTTCCAATTTTGATTTTTAACATTAGTACTAACTCAATAAGAATAACAAAAGTTAAACAATAAAAAATTCCTTCTTACCCCTCATGTCTCAAGTTTAATCTCTTCTATAAAGGCTTCCCTGATGACCTTAGATAGACCTTGGCATTGTCTTCCTAGGTCTTATGACTTTTATACACATCCACTTTCTTTATTGTACTTATAATATTATAATATTAGATTGTGTGGTTTTTTCCTGACTATCTCCCAATTACATAGCTCTGAGTAACAAATCACAGCTTCTTCCCCTGGTACATTGAATAATTGGCAACTGACTTAGCATGAAGTAGGAGAATAATAAATGTTATTGAAAAGAATGAGCTCATAGGTTGTATGCTTTGCGCAATAACTATTGCTGGTATTTACCTGTTTCACAGAGGTAGCTTGATCTTTTGCCTGGTTTCTCATTATAGTCACCATTCGCCTCCTTCTATATAAATATTAAAACAAACAGATTCCCAAATTCTTTTTGTAGAATTTGAAAATTACTATTTTCATATTTAAAATTTAGAAATGTAACATTTTGAAATTTCTTTAAATGTCAATTTATAAAAAACATTCACACTTTATGATGTTTATTTTACATTTATTATAGACAGAATTCAAAATTCATAGCTATATCAGAGTATGATACCACTGAAATATTTAATAGCTTGATAAGACACTGTAACTCATCATATAATTATATTCACATCTAAGATTCAGTACAACAAAATGATACACAATGGGATAAGTAAGGATAAGTATAGATAACTTCATGCAGACTTCCTTGTGCTCACTATCTCTTGTCTGAAGAGTGTTCTCTCTTCCCTACCAATAAAAAAATAGAGTAACGGATGTGCAATGTTTCTGCCCAAGGAAATCCTTATGAAGCTCAGCATTCAATATGTTTTATTGAAGGCTGATCATTAAGACAATCTCTTCCTTAGTACCTTCCAAAATTTCAGATTCCCAGAAGAAAATTATATGTTCAGCAAAAATCGAATTGTTTCAATAGTCTAGGTGCAGTAGATCACCCTTCTTGTAGGGGAAAAGAAAAATGTTTCCCCATAACATTCCTAGACATAATCCAAGGACAACGACTAAGAAGACTCTTTTAAAGATAGTAGTCTCAAGGCTGTTGTGTTACCAAATTCACGCACAATAACATTCACTAGTACTACACTGATTTTCTAAAAAGAAGTTCCATCACCTCAATGGCAAGAAGAATAAGTGTGTTTTTAAGCAAGGCTAGCAAAAGAAGAAAAGTTTAAGTAGAGCTGGAAAGCAGAGACAGACTCTCTCTATACATGAATGTGGCCCTCTAGACTTTTCCAGGAACCTATCCTGCACGAGGAAGCAAATGCAGTGTAATAGATTTCTTTTTCCCCTACATCAGAAACCTGAAAACAGGTAATCAAACATATTTTTCTCACAATGGTAGGCTCTGTACAATATGTCTGAAAACACATTGTAATACTTATAATAAAAACACTCGTTCTGTTTCTCATTATGTATTAGATATTTGTGAACATCTGCTATTTATTTGAGTTTAATATGGAAGGCAAAGTTAATAGCAAACACTACATCTTTAAAGGTTAATAATAAAATTTAGACATAGTTTTAAAAGTAGGTCTTATTTTTATTTTAAATTAAAGACACAGCCTTTGAAATATGGTGGCAATGTAACTGCTTAAAATATCAATGTTGTTAAGAATATTTTTTATGATTCTTAACATATTTAATGTAGCTGCTGACAAAACAGAACAGTGAACTGTGCCCATAATACAGTTGCAAAGTGTTTATTTATAATAACACTGTACTATAGGGAAGCATATTGTGGTAATAACAATGCATTTTAGGACTTCTGAATAATTTAATCTGTCAATTATCATGCATTATAGGACAGAGAAAATTGTGCTATTCTCTATTCTAATCATGAAGAATTCATTTGAAAATAAATTAATAAATTTCTAGATTATTCAAAACTTTTTCAAATCATGTTAACTCCTTAGCAGATTGAACCAATTACTACTAGGCTAATACTGGAACCAAGGATACAGATTTTAGTCTATAATAACAAGTTAACAATTTACAGAGAAAATCCATTTCCTATGCAAAAGCTGCACCCTGAGTCTTTGGGTGATAAATTTCCTATAGTAGGAATTTGGTTATTAGTCAAATTTAATTATTAGTCAAAAATACTAAATCAGTACTAGTAGAAGCCTAATCAAAGAAGCCTAATTTGGTGATGTAACCAACGTAAAATATAAGCCTATTCAGAATTGTCACTATGAATCCCCCCGAACTATGAATATATCCTAATAAAAATTTATAATAAAAAAGAAGCCCAATTTGATTCTTTTGATGGTCACAGTTACATATTATAAATTACCATTTTGTGGCTTATATTTAGGCAGACTGTCCTATACTATTTAATTTTTAATTAATTTTAGGGAATAATCCTGATTCTTCATGGTTAAAGAATGACATTTTCATATACCAATGATGACCATAAGATCATATCACATTTGTTCTGTTTGTATTTGAAGTAAAAGAAATACTACATACCTCTTCTTTTTGAGGACTCAAAACTGACTGTGAAATTTTGGGGTTATTTTTTGTGGGTGAAGTTTGAGTTGAAACAACTGACTCTTGATTTGACATGTTTATAGCACCTAGAAAAAAGAAGAGATATCTTTAAATATGTATTGTTGCAACAAGGATGAATATTAATTTGCAAGCCTGCTCCAACATTCTCCCTGTTGAGCTGCCACAATGAGGAGAAAAACAAAAAACAGTCAGAAATTTGAGGTAAAGAAGGATCTCCAGAAGAACATATCATTTTTAATGTTTACTGCCTATAGATTTCATTGGTTTATCTGTGCCTTCAAAGACAAATTTGAAATCCTTATCTTCTGGCCCTAATTTCTTTATTATGCCAGCTTAATCTTATAAAACTAATAAAAGTGCAATTCCTGAATTAACTGTTTTGAAATTTATGGTGTATCACGAAGAGGAAGAAGTGATCCGTCAATGCCATGCCTAAGGATGTATCTGAAGGAATGTTGGTTAGGTTACATTATTCACAATTACCAAGCTATGAAACCAGCCCAGATGTCCTACAACTGGTGAATAGATTAAGAAAATGTAGTATATGTGTATAATGGAATATTATTCAACTATAATCAGAATGAAATTTTGTTTTTCACAGGTAAATGGATGAAACTGGAGAACATCATGTTACATTAAGTAAGCAATGTTCAGAAAGACAAAGGTCACTTGTTTTCTCTCATATGTGGAAGATAGATCCAAACACAAATACAGGAATTATTATATATACAAATATACATGTTTCCAAAAGTGGGCTATTACAGAAGACTAAGAAAAGAAGAAAAGAATGGCAGAGAGTGAATAATACTGAAATACATTACATCTCTGAAGGAACAAGATATAATGACACACATTGAAAACTGTTGAACAACACAGGATAGGGGGAATAGGATAAAGAAGAGTAAATAGAGGGGGTCAGACTGGTTAAGGTACAATATACTTACAGATAAAATAACAAAGCAAAACTCTAATGGACAATGAACAGATTATAAAACAATGAAAGGCAGACCATGTTAAAAGGAGGGCACTAGCAGGAGAGAGAGGATAAATAAGGATATACTTTCTACACAGGTGTGAATATGGAATACTGAAACTTGTCAAAGTCACTAAAAGAAGGAGAGTGTAAGAAGAGGGAGAATAATGTAGGGGTTGACCTAATCAGAGTATAATATAGGCACATATGGAAACATACAAAAGAAACCTCTTATATAACAATCATATGCTAATAAAAGCATTTTTAAAAAGAAAGAAATCAATTTATCCCCATTGCCAGATGACATGATCTGATACCTAAAAAACCCTAACAACCCTAAACATTCAGCAAACATTCAGCACAGTGGCAGAATGCAAAAACAGCACACAAAAATGAGCTGCATTTTATAGAAAAACAATGAACAGTCTGAGAAAGAAATCAGGAAAACAATAACATTCACAGTAGACCTGTACAATGAAAATTACAAATCACTAATGAATGAAGACATTAGAAGATGGAGGGACATTTCCATGCTATGGTTCAGTAGAATCAATATTGTGAAAATGGCTCTACTGTCAAAAGTACTCTATATGTCCAATGCAATCCTTATCAAAACTCCAATGACATTCTTCACCAAGATAGAAAAATCAATCTTAAAGTTCATATGGAAGCACAAAAGACCTAGAATAGCCAAAGCAATCCTGAGCAATAAGAGCAATGCTGGTTGTATTACAATAGCTGATTTCAAACTATCCTACAGAGCCATAATAACAAAAATAGCTTGGTACTGGCACAAAAACAGACATGAAGACTGGTGGAATAGAAGACCCAGACAAAAAACCATGCAGCTACAGGCATTTGATCCTCATTGAAGGAACCCGAATTATGTGTTGAAGAAAAGACAACCTCTTCAACAAATGGTGCTGAGAAAACTGGAATATCTACCTGTAGAAGACTGACTCTCAGTATGTCACTTTGTACTATTATCAATTCAAAGTGGATGAAAGACCTTAATGTCAGATCTGAAACTGTGAAATTACTCTGGGAAAAAAAGGGAATACACTGGATCATATAGATATAGAATAGCTCTGTAATTAAGAGAAAAGAATGACAAATGAGACTTCATGAAACTAGCAACCTTCTGCACAGTGAAGGAAACAATCACTAGACTAAAGAGGCAGCCTAAGGAATGGAGGAAAATCTTTGCCAGCTATACATCTGACTAGTGATTAATAACCGGTATATATAGGGCTCAAAAAACTAACCCTGCAAAGAATCAACAACCCACTGAATAAATGGGCAAATGAACTGAACAGACAATTTTCCCAAAAGGAAAAGTACAAATGGCCAATAAACACATGAAGAAATGCTCAACATTCTGGATGTAAAGGAAAATCACCTCAAAATGACATGGAGTTTTGACCTCACTCCAGTCAGAATGGCTATCATCATTAAGCCACAACAAATGTTGGCAAGATGGGGGGAAAAAAGGAACATTTCTACACTGTTGGTGGGAATGTAAATTAGTGCAACCACTATGGAAAGCAATATGGAGGTTCCTCAAAAAACTAAAAATAGAACTAACATATGATCCTGCAAATCTTTGGGCATATATCCAAAGGAATGTGCACCAGAATGCAATAGAGTCACTTGCACACCCATGTTTACTGCAGCATGCAGCACTATTCACAATAGCCAAGCTTTGTGACCAGCCCACATAACCAGCAATTAATGAGTAAATTAAGAAAAAGTGGTTTATATACACAATGGAGTATTATTCTGCTATACAGAAGAATGAAATTATGTTGTTTGCAGGTAAATGGTTAGAACTAGAGAACATCATGTTAAGTGAACTAAGCCAGGCTCAAAAAGTTAAAGGTTGTATGTCTTCCATGTTATGTGGAAACTAGACCTATAAGATAAATGCACACCTAAATATATATAGACCTTATATACATTTATATACATATAAATGTTTATATATATATATATATATATATAGAGAGAGAGAGAGAGAGAGAGAGAGAGAGAGAATGAGAGTTATTATCAAGCTACAATAATGAAAATTTGCTGTGTTTGCATGTGGATAGAAGAGAATGTTTAGAAATAGACCCACCTATCTGATCACTTTATCTTTTCAAAGCTTCCAATGCAACTCAATGGTGTTGAAGCAAATGGATGTATACAAGGTAAGTTTTGTTTATCCTGTCTCTCAGAAAGCAAGGAAGCTATTAACAGCCACCAGAGTCCAAAAGGACTCAAGTTATTACAAAGGGACTTCTCCTGTCCAGATTCATGTTTTAAAAATTAGTTTTGATTGGTCATACATTAATAATACAAGAGGGTTTTATTGTGATTATTCCATACATGACTGCAGTATGCCCTGAACAAGTTCAACCCCTTAATTATACTCCCATTCTCCCTTTTCTTTTTCTCCATTTTGCAAACAGTGTTTGGTAGGTTTAAATGTATTGTCTACACATATGTGTGTGTGTGTGTGAGTGTGTGTGTGAGTGTGTGTGTGAGTGTGTGTGTGAGTGTGTGTGAGTGAGTGTGTGTGTGTGTGAGTGTGTGTGTGTGAGTGTGTGTGAGTGAGTGTGTGTGTGTGTGTGTGTGTGTGTATAGCACACTTCCATCCTCTCTACCCTGGATTCATGTTAATAAACAAAATTAACAGTACTATTGTATTATGGAGTATCTTGAATTCACAGATTTAAACAAATTTGATGTACTAAAGAACATCATGAATTCATAATGTCACCAAACAAAACTAGCACAACATTTTGGAGAATGCTACTGATACAATTCGTTATTTTGAAAATTGTTGAATGATGGTAAATAGTAAACACTTAGTCTGCATTTCCTAAATGTTCTGCACCATAATGTAAGTAAATCATTGTTGAGGGGAAGTTTCTTTTTATCAAAGTATTACAGCTACTCTATGAAGAAGTAATGATAGAATTTAAATATTTCAATTTTGCAACCCACAATTAATCCATGGATCTAAACATAAATGACTGGCAAGATCACAGACAAAACAAGGTATTATATGCTTCTTGGGGAAAGGACAGATCCCCATCTGTGAAAAGTTCTTGTTAAATAAACTTAACCTGCAAGCATATTGAATGTAACTAGTACTTCAGAGGAAATAACAGGAATGAACACATAGAACTACATCATCTAGATGCAATCATCAAAAGTTCAGCTGGTGAAGAACTCAATAGAATAAACAATTCAATTTCCTTCTACAAACCTGCTATCTTAAAAAAGCAAAAGGAAGAGGAGTGAGGGAGGGAAAGAGATGCTGAGAGGAGGAATTCATAGACTAAACAATTCTCAAAAGCATATAAACATGCTGATATAGTGATTAATGTAGATTAAAACTAATATCAAAATATTTTGTGACATGATATTGAAATTTTAAATGGTTATAAAATAATTAATTTTATGGAATTACTAATTTGTATAGTATAATAAAGATATCTGACTGAATATTTAAAACAATCTTTATCTCTTTTAGAGATACAAGTTGACATGTTTATGGATGAAGTAATATTATTTGTGGGATGTGCCTCAAACAATATGACAGCTCTGAAAAACAACTCATCCAAATTGACCTCAAGTAAAAAGTATCTATATGGGTATATGTATGTATATGGATACATATATATTCACATATATATGTAAAGTACAAAGGAATAGAGATTAGAGATTAAGAACTGAATTAAAGACTTCTGTACTTCCAACAATACATGTAGAATAGAATCAAGTCACAGACTGTAAGAAGATATCTGCTATACCATATCTATGCATGCAACAAGTAAGTGCTTAATATGATTAAAATTCTTCCAAATCTGTAAGAAAATCAGTCTAGGGGAAAATTACCAAGTGGGAAGAAACAATAATTTCTTAAAGGGTACACCTGACCCAGAATAATCACTGAAAAATCACTTGACTATGTTTACCAGGTGATCTGTACATTCAAGAATGTCCAGTCTAATCATGGTTCAAAAACATCAAATACTTTTACCAACAGATAAATGGATGGAGGAACTGTTGTAAAAATCACACAATGGGATATGATTAGTAGTGAAATGAACCAAAATTTCAGGCAACATATGGGTATATCTTTTGAAACAATATTGAGTATAAAAAGCAAGTGCCAGAAGACTGGATATAATATCATAACTGTATAGTAAAGTATCTTAATAGTGGTACTTAAATCTGTATGTATATCTATCTATATATGTCTATTTAGACCTACCTAAGTAGTTTAAGGGTACACATTCACATAGTTGCATAGTTAATATATTTTTAAAAGAATGGTTATGATAATCACCAGAATTAGACAGCAGGTTGTTTTGTGGGGTAGGGAGTTTTTTCAGGGAAATTTAACAAAACATATCAACCTACCACTTAAGAAATCTCAGTGAATTCCAAAGGAGGGAGAAAGGAAACAAAGACACCCACACCTAGACACATCATGAATTGCTGAAAATTAATCTTCCCTCAAAAATTTAAAAATAATCAGAGGAAAAATGGTACATTTCTTATAATGAAAAAAAATGAAATTATTGTAGATATCTTATCAGAACCATGGAGAAGACAATAAAGTGAAATATTTTTTCAAAGTTCTGAAAACTGTCAATTTATGAGTCTATATGAAGTGAAAACAATATCCTTTAGAAGTAAAGAGAAAATAAAAACATTCTCAGGTGGAAAAAAAAAAAAACTAAGATAATTCAGTGCCAGTAAAGCTGTGGTAAAAATGCAAAGGAAGATGTATGGACTGAAAGAAAGATGCCCAGAACCCAAAGAATTAAAGAGAAAACAACACATAACTACTCAGTAAATGTAGTAGATTATGCTCTACTACTCTGTTCTTAAAATATATGTATTTGATGTCATAAAGCAAAACTTATAACAACAGGACACATACCAAAGTAAGACTACTATATTCTACATAATAATAACATGTTCCACATAGTACAATGAACGCTCACTGCTGATTATAAAGAACTAAGTACACTGTAGTCTGGAGTAATCACTATAAAAACTATCTACAGAGTTATGAAAAAAATAGCCATGGATTACTAGAAACCAAATTTTTTCAAAAAGTACAATAGTACCAAAAATGAAGTATTTAAGCATATATTTATCATAACATAGGATCTATATTTTGAATACTATGAAACACATATAAAAAATTAAGAATGATCTAAACAAAAGAAAAATCATACCATGTTTGTAGGTTGGAAGACCATTTATGGTTAAAAATATCTTTTTCTCATTAAATTGACCTATACATTTAATATGCTTCATTTAAAAATCCGTGTATGATTTTTACAAATATAGATAAACTAATTATAAAAATTATGTGGAAAGGTAAATAAATTAATGTAGCCATAACAATTTTAAAAAAGAAAAATAAGGTTAGTAAAATGATAGTATTTGAGATATATCTAGATAGCCCTCCTCCTCCCAACTTTTAATGGGATATTCTCTAAACTGTCCTTAATTAACTTTACAGGTCTGATCTCTGCAAATTTGTCATTGTAGACTGGTTACAGTCTACTATCACATCTGTTATAATAGACTTATTTTCAGTGAGGCTAAAAATAATATTTCCGTCCTTCTCTTAGATATTACTGAGATTCTTAGACATTAGGAAGACCAATCTGGGTTACATCAAACACTACATTTTTAGAGAATGGCTTTGCTTGAGATAATTGCTTTAAAAACCAATAATTTCCTTTTATTATCTACATTTATTAGATATAAGGCTATTGTCATAATTGTGTGTGTTGTTATAATTCTTTGGTCTGTGTTTAAAAATTATTTAGACTTTAAAAAGGGGACCCATGAGTCTTTCGAGTTGAATTAACTCACTATCAGTAATCCTAAGGCTAGGAGACAGTTTGAGTTAAAATTTTCCTGTTTCTTCCCAGGTTTCTACATCTTGAGGAAACTCCACAAATAGCATACTTAGGGAAGAAAGAATTTGGACTTCATTTTCTTTAGATTTTAAATAATAAGATCCAGTTATTTAATGTTTATAAATTAATTTGAAATTTAATAGTGGAAGGGGAGGGTCATATTGTTCAATTATTAATAGTCTTACATTTCTATAGTGCATTATTAGGAGTTTTTCTTGTTATTTGGGTTCATGGTATAATCTACTGAGCTTAAGTGGACACCAGAAAATGACATAGCATTAGACAAGAAATACAAAAAGTGACATTTCAATAAGGTTCACAGTGGCTTTGGAGTTAAGACATTTAATAGCTAAACCATTTCAGAGTTTTCTATAATCATTTTGAGCATTAAAAGGTATTTTACATGTAGTTAGATATTATGTAGTATATATTTAACAGTAATAATGCTTCACTTAATTTTTCTAAAATGATAATATAATGGCAAGTTGAGAAGACTAAATCTAGTGTTATCTAGTGTTTAATTTCTGAAACCAATAGAGGCTGCACAGTTGTTGGTAACACCATTCTAAATCAGCCATTTCTCAAGGAGAACAGAGGACTTATCTGTAGCTAAGGAGGGCTCACCAAACTCAGTCTTTCCCCAAGTTATTATGCTTAGCATTTCTTATGAAAATAATTACCATGTGCTTCTTTAGATCCTGTCTGTTCACCATTAGCATAAACTACTTTTATGTCATCCAAAGATTTCTTCTTCTTCTGTGGAGAAGCTTAAAGAAATATAAAAAAAACACATTTGTTTTTAATAATGGAGGTGGAGAATTACCAAAGATAGATTACTCTCTCATGCTCAGTAAGCCACTTGTTAATCTACATGTGAGATTGGGAGTAAAGAAGGAGAAGATGGAGAGAAGTGAAATGAGGGAAAGAATTATTCCTCAAAATATTATGCCTTCAAGTTAGAAGATATACTTAGGGGAACAGAATTATCTTTTGGCAGAAAGGAAAAATTGAACCATTTGAAATTTCCTCTCTGGGAATGCATATCAGCATAATGACAGGGCTGATGGTCCACCAGACATAGTAACTATTGCATTTATTGGATTTACCTTAAAGTCTGGCATAAGCAAATATAACACAATGCAAGATATTCTAGAGAGATAACATATATAAAAATCACTCCTTTGTGATAGGAAATTGTGACTTCTTTTTATAACTACTAAGTAGCAATATGCTCAATAGGGTTTTCATTAGAGATGGTAAATGTGAGAGTGACCTGTTTCCTAATTTTCTGATCACTGGAACAGATTCTTCTGCTATTCCCTTTCTCACAGAGAGTTAAAACCAATGTACCCTTTTAAATTCTGACCATCAAATATTAGCCAATATTGAGGTAGGAGAGACTCAGTGTATAATTTTATATTGCTACAAATAAAATGAAGCTTGTATGGATTAAGTACAGCAAAGTTATGACACCCTGTTCCTCCCTTTAAACTTTGCTTACTTTTACACTTTTTCTCTTCTTTCTTTCCCTTCTGTAAATCCTTTCTTCCTTTTCCCCTTCTTTTTATTCTTAATGGTTGGCAGCATAACAGAACACCATGTTGATATATAATAGCAACCACTTTATAAGCCAAGTTTTCATGTGTTCAACAGTAGAAAATACATAATCTTATGGAAAGGAAAGTTAGCAAAAACTACAGTAATAGATAAACTTATCTCTTGAGTCACTTGACAAAATATTTTAGGTTATCCTAATTTTTACATCTATGTGTACTTTTCAACTTGAACAGTAAGTAATATGGAAATGATTAGGTCACTTCCATTAGGGCATGGCACTAAGTAAGCAGAAATCTAAGTAAATAGACTGTTATAAAAGAATTTTTACATAGATAAGCATTTTATGCTTAGCTTTTTAATGTTCTTACATTCACAAAGTGTTCCATCTTGTCCTCTGCTTTCAAAAGTATTTTTTCCCACATCTTCTTTAAAGCCCATATCTTGCATTTTTTGTAAATGATAAGCCATTTTTTTCTCCAACAAGGCTTGTTTCTAAAATATTAAAGAAAATATGTTGGTTAATATCAACTTACCACTTTATAAATTTAAAACAAATATTTGAAATGGATTACATATTAGAAATTAACATTCATTCCTGCGTTATGATGTTTATGCTGTTTATATTGAGTATGAAAATGGGAGAGTAAGTGTTGAATTTCCATTTTGGGGGCAACACAAAAAAGAACACACTTGAAACACTTATGGGAAATTTACCTTACTATACATCTTTGTGAAACTAGTATAGTTTCTGATCAAATACAGTCTCTTATACATAGCAGTGCTGGTGAGTTTAAGTAATTTCTCAAACATCTTCAATTGGAAGATTCATGAAGACTTCACTAAAAGTAATTAAGTCTACCATGGGTAAACATAACACAATACATGAAAGTTGGCTTCTATTTGTTAATCTCTGTGCTACTATTGATGAAGGGTGAGATTCTTGGAGGGCCCTTTGGAGCATTTGGTGAGAAAATAGATATGCACATGTATACAAGGAAACCTCTGAAGACTACAGAAAGAACCATCACTAAAAGATTAGAGAGGAGTGCTTGGCATTTATCTGAAGATGGAAATCATCTTTGCTTTCACCAGCCACATCAGAAAAACTTCTTGAGTCACACCGGGCAGAGTGTTAAGATGAGTCTTGCTTCAGTAATAAGGAATAACTTGTCTTAGATCAAATGTGGCTCAGGTTCTATCTAGCAAGTCTTAAAAAGAAAGACTTCAATAATCAAACTCTTTATAAATAAATTATGGACATATGAGAAAAGAGCTAAAGAACAGAAGAATATAAAAAAATCCAGTGTCCACCAAAAATTATCTGGTGTCCAATCAAAGAAGAGCAGGCATGTAAAGAAGTAGGGTCATGTGACTCATAAGTAGGAGTTAATCAATCAGTTACAGTCATTCCAAAAAAGATAAAACTGTTGAAATTAAAGATAAGAATATCAATATAGGCAATAATTTGAATACTTTACAAAGTAAAATAAAGATATGTAGGTATAAAAAGGACATCCCAATTTTTTTTAAATATGTGAGAAGAGTAATGGGATGCATTAATGTCAAAGTAAATATTATAAAAGATTCAGGCAGCCTAATCTTGCAAAGAGGACAAGAGGACATAAAAGGAATATTTGGTAATAATGACCGAAAATTTTCCAAATTGATGAAAATCATAGACTCACAGGCTTAGGAAGCCACACCAAAAAATAATACACAGAAAGCAAGAGAAAAGTCAGCAAGGCATATATTAACAAAATTTTTCAAAACCAGTGACAAAGAGCAAAATTCTATAGTAGTGAATGGGGATTTTATGTTTAGAGAAAAGCATAGTTAAGAACAACAGATTTTTTATTGAAAACAATGTAGAGAACATAACAGAACAGTACATTTGAAGTTATACAAGAGAAAGGGTCAATGAAGAATTGTATACCCAGATGATACTAAAACAATATATACCTACAAACAATCTTTCAAACATAAATGTGAAATAAGAACATTTTCAGATGTATAAAAACTAACTTCACAAGAAAACTGTTAAAGAAAGCTCTCAGAAAGAAAAAATCAGTGGTACCTGATGGAAATATGGACATACAAAAAGGAATGAATATCATCAAAAATGTAAGAACAAGACCAAATATATGACTTATTTTTTAAAACAAAACAAAGAGGTAAACTTAATTGTTCATCCAGATAAGTAAAAATGAACCATTTTAAAAAGTCTCCTAAAAAAGCAGAAAATTGGGAAGAGCAAAACAAGTTGAGAGAAACAAAAAACAAATTCTGTGATGTCAGATTTAAAACTAAACATATTAATAATCACATGAAATATAAATGCTCTAAACACTTCAGTCAAATTCAATAAGCAAGCAAAATCCTTCTTATGCAGAAATAACTGCAAAAATGAAACTGAAAATAATGATCCAATAGAGTTTTTAAAGTAGGACAGAAAAAAATAGTATGCCATTACAGCACTTATCAAAAGAAAGTTAGAATGGCAATATTGATTTTGCAAAAAGTAATATTAGAGCAAAGAAAAGTATTTTCATAATGGTAAAAAAAGAAAAGAAAAGAACAAGAAGAAACAACCCACAGATAGAACCAACATTTGTGCACCTAACAACTAAGTTCCAAAGAAATAAAGGAAACTGAGAGAACTACAAAGAAAAATAGACAAATCCAAAAATATAGTCAGATATTTTAATAGCTCTCTCTCAATAGTTGAGAGAAGCATATAGAAGTTGAGTTAAGATTTAGAATGAATTAATCAATGAATTTGACTAATATCTGAAGAACAGTTACAAAATACCCAACAAGAGCAGAATGCAAGTTTTTTTCAAGTGAACACTGCAATCTACGAAGAATGATCATATTTTGTGATAACAAAAGCATCTTAATACATTTAAAAGGATTTAAGGAATACAAAGGATGGCATGACCATGACCAAACTAAATTTGCAATCAATAACAAAAAGATTACAGAAAAGCTCCAAACATTGAGGAACTAAACAACACACTTCTAAATAATGTGTCAAAGAAGAAATCAAAAGAAAACAATTTTGAATTGAATAAACATAAAAACATAGTATATAAAAATCTATGGTCTCGTCCTGAAACCCTGAAGTTAGTACAGGAAGGAGCAGGAAACACTCTGGAAACTAATAGGTATAGGCAAAGACTTCCTCAGTAGAACTCCTGCAGCCCAGCAACTAACAGAAAGGGATGGACAAACTGGGACTTCATTAAAATTAAAACTTCGGCACAACCAAAAGAAAATGGTCTTTAACCCAAACTCTTAAGTTGATACAAAGAAAGAGTAGGAAATACTCTGGAGTTAAGTAGGTATAGGTAGGTATAGTAAGAATTTTCTCAATGAAACCCCAGCAGCACAGCAACTAAGAGATAGCATAGATAAATGGGACCTCATAAAACTAAAAAGCTTCTGTTCATCAAAAGAAATGGTCTCTACTGAAGAGAACACCCACAAGGGAGAAAATATTTGCCAACTATACATCAGACAAAGGACTAATAACCAGAATATACAGGGAACTTAAAAAACTAAATTCTCCCAAAACTAATGAACCAATAAAGAAATGGGCAAGTGAACTAAACAGAACTTTCTCAAAAGAAGAAATTCAAATGGCCAAAAAACACATGAAAAAATGCTCACCATCTCTAGCAATAAAGGAAATGCAAATTAAAACCACACTAAGATTCCACCTCACCCCTGTTAGAATAGCCATCATCAGCAACACCACCAACAACAGGTGTTGGCGAGGATGCGGGGAAAAAGGAACCCTCTTACACTGTTGGTGGGAATGTAGACTAGTACAACCACTCTGGAAAAAAATTTGGAGGCTACTTAAAAAGCTGACATTGATCTACCATTTGATCCAGCAATACCACTCTTGGGGATATACCCAAAAGACTGTTACTCCAGAGGCACCTGCACATCCATGTTTATTGCGGCACTATTCACAATAGCCAAGTTATGGAAACAGCCAAGATGCCCCAGCACTGACGAATGGATTAAGAAAATGTGGTATCTATACACAATGGAATTTTATGCAGCCATGAAGAAGAACGAAATGTTATCATTCGCTGGTAAATGGATGGAATTGGAGAACATCATTCTGAGTGAGGTTAGCCTGGCCCAAAAGACCAAAAATCGTATGTTCTCCCTCATATGTGGACATTAGATCAAGGGCAAACACAACAAGGGGATTGGACTATGAGCACATGATAAAAGCGAGAGCACACAAGGAAGGGGTGAGGATAGGTAAGACACCTAAAAAACTAGCTAGCATTTGTTGCCCTTAACGCAGAGAAACTAAAGCAGATACCTTAAAGCAACTGAGGCCAATAGGAAAAGGGGAACAGGTACTAGAGAAAAGGTTAGATCAAAAAGAATTAACCTAGAAGGTAACACCCATGCACAGGAAATCAATGTGAGTCAATGCCCTGTATAGCTATCCTTATCTCAACCAGCAAAAACCCTTGTTCCTTCCTATTATTGCTTATACCCTCTCTACAACAAAATTAGAAATAAGGGCAAAATAGTTTCTGCTGGGTATTGCGGGGGGAGAGGGAGGGGGCAGAGTGGGTGGTAAGGGAGGGGGTGGGGGCAGGGGGGAGAAATGAACCAAGCCTTGTATGCACATATGAATAATAAAAGAAAAATGGAAAAAAAAAAAAAAAGAAATGGTCTTTAAACTGAAGGGACCACCCACTCAGTGGGAGAAAATATTTGCCAGCTATACATCAGACAAAGGACTGATAACCAGCATACACAGGTAACTTAAAAAAGCTGAACTCTGCCAAAAGCAATGAACCAATAAAGAAATGGGCAACTGAACTAAGCAGAACTTTCTCAAA